AAACACATTCTTTAGTCTTTCCATTAACGATATATGTGACTATGTGACTTTCGAATGTTGTACGAATTCACCGAAAATCCAATTTTTAGAAAACGAATTTGGCATGAATTCGGAAACTGTGGTAGATTGGAATAGTTATTTGAGGAAAGTTTATGTTGATTAGAAAATCGAAAACAGCAACGAAAACTTGGCTGGTGAAGGGGTCATTGATATTGATGATGAAATTATTAAACAAAATATTCTACCTGGCACAGTAATCATGTCGGAAGGCGTACGATTGCCTCAATAGTTACAATCACAAACATCTGACGGTGAACCACACATACAACTTTGTGCATCCCGATACGGATGCACATACACAGAATAGAAAGAACTTGGTGCGATGTCAAATCAAATATCCTGAAATTTGGACGCAAACAGGAAAATTTCACAGGGTATCTGGCAGAACACTTTTTTAGCAAAGTACATATGCCCCAATGTAGTGTCATCAGAAAAACGTAAACATAGGAATAACAGTACCTGTGCGGTATAAAAAAGTCAACATACGGAGTCTCCATTCCAGAAGTGCATTTTTGTGCTATCTACACGAAAACAAAGAATTTGTTTACCACTTCCGATTCGAGTCACCTAAAATCCTTTTAGATATCATATGGTCCATAAAGGCACGTGTAAACTTTGCAGTTTATATATCAACCCCTTTTTTCCAGTTCAGTAGACAGCAAAATGGAAGAGTGTACGAATTCACCGAAGTTTATGTTAATCTACCTTTGTTTCAGCAAACATGATGACCTTAAATTTTCAGTATGTTGTAGGGGTGATAATGCTGATCATTTTCGAATATATATATACATATATATATATGTTGGGCGCGGAGGTCATAACGAAGCAAACCTTTCGAAGACATTATTCCAACATATCCCGCTCCGGCGGGCAGGGGCATTGATGAAACTCCAGTCTGTCATAAATCTACCTAATAACCATACAATAACGTCACTAATGCATATACATCTTCAAAGAGCCTGTCATATTATTGCTTATTTTATATATCATAGGCCACCACATATTTTGTCAACGTTCTAAAACAATGCTTCATTATCATTTCCGCGCCCAACATATATATATATATGTATTTACCTGTGCGGTAAAAAAAGGTCAACATACGGGGTCTCCATTCCAGTAGTGCATTTTTGTGCTATCTACATGAAAGTAAAGAATTTGTTTACCACTTCCGATTTGAGTCACCTAAAATCCTTTTTTCAGTTCAGTAGACAGCAAAATGGAAAAGTGTGGGGGATGTACTGTAATGTTCCATTGAGAACATTCTTTAATATGGAAAAAATTAATTTTTTAAAGGAGCATGGGGTTATTCTCAGTGATATGTAATGCCCAAACTGTAACAACATGTGCATTCTCAGCACTGACTTTTTTTGCCGCTGCCAGAAAACGGACAAAAAACCGGTGGGGAAGAAACTAATTAAAACTTTATGCTATTTCAAACAAAGCAAATTATTCTTCTCAACAGAAGGCGGCAAGCAGAGGTCGCCCAGTTAAAAGTCCAAACTTTTAAATCAATCAATTTAGAAGGCAACTCGGATAACGAATTGGATAAATGTTTAACAGAAGCTGAAAAGATTTTATTAAAAACATACAGTCGTTTAGTTATAAAAGGTAAGCGTGGAAGAGGCGTGCCCATATTATTATCCCCAATAATGAAAATGCATTTTGATTATGTTTTGCCAACTAGAGATAATTTTTCAACTGAAAGTGATTTTGTATTCCATACAACTAGTAAAGGATTCGTTGATGGAACTAAACTTGTTCATAAATATGCCAAGAAATGTCAGCTTGAGAGACCTGCGAGTATAACAGCAACAAAACTTTGAAAGCATTTGGCTACCATTACCCAACTTCTTCAATTTTCAACTAATGATATGAAGCAGTTCAGCAAATTTATGGGCCACACGTTACAAACTCATTGCAAAAAAAAAATATTGCAGATTATTTCTCTGACCACATTAAAAAAAAGAAAAGCTCGCACTCAATGGGAAGTAATTGAGCTATCTGAAAAATATCCCCAATTAATTGAAGGAAAATAGTGGACAATTATCAAAGCTGTAGTTTAAAATATGTACACCGGGAAACTTAAATACTGAATAAACTGTGCATCTATCTACTTTTCTGAGAATGTAGTTTTCTTTTCCTTACAATGGATTTTGAGTTATTAAATATTTATACAGAGTAGGTAGATATACCGCGAATGTTTACGTATTGGTCAGGGAATTACCAACTATTATTACCGATTTTTAGTTTTATTTTCATTTTATGTAGGGAGAGTGGGGTAAACACAAACGCGGGGTAAACACAAACGCGGGGTAAACCCGAACGCAACGCTTCTGATGTGTTAGAAAGCGATAGGCATAATTCACAGATGCCTCGTAATTACACAAGAAAAACAGTGACGAAATACAGTCTAGAAGATCTCAAAAAGGCCATAGATGATGTTCAAACCAATAAACTTAGCATCGGCAAAGCTGCAGAAACTTATAATGTTCCAAAAACTACCTTTTTCCCCCTAAAGAAGCCAGTGATTAAATTGCCAAGAGTTGGTCGAAAAATTTTATTCACAGACGAGCAAGAAGCGGGTGAAGCGGTGCATTATATCATAAAATACAGTAAACTTTATTACGGTCTAACCATAAAAAAAAATTCGCCAAATTGCGTACCAATATGCTGAGAAGAACAAACTTCCTCACAATTTCGACCGAGTAAAACAGCTATCCGGGAAAGACTGGTATTACAGCTTCATGAAAAGACATCCCAGCCTATCTCTGAGAACACCTGAGGCGACTTCACTTAATCGTATCACAGAATTTAATGAAACTGACGTTCAAGTTTTTTAGGATAATTTGAAGGCCATACAAGAGAAATATCATATTCAACCTGATAAAAATTTTAACGTCGCTGAGACAGGTATATCAAGAGTCCAGAAAAATCAGAAAATAATGGGAGTAAGAGGTCAGAAACAAGTCGGTAAGGCAACGAGTGCCGAAAGGGGGTCTACAACAACAGTGGTTTGTGCATTTAGTGTAGCCGGTCAATACTTTCCACCATTTTTTATATTTAAAAAGAAGTGCATGAATCCACTTTTACTAAAAGATAGCAACCCTAACATGATTGGAGCTGTGTCAGACTCTGCATGGATAAATGAAAGCCTTTTTGTTGATTGGCTACACCACTTCATTTCATATGAAAAGCCTTCAAAAGAAGATCCAGTGTTGCTCATATTGGATAACCATGAAAGCCACATAAGTCTTGATGCTTATTCACTATGCAGAGAACATGGAATCATTATGCTGACTTTGCCACCACACACCTCACATAAACTCCAACCTTTGGACTTGACATATTTTGGCCCTATCAAGACAGCATAGAATCAAGAATGTGAGAATCACATGGCAGATCGATTTGGACAGCCAATAACACAATGCGACATAGTAGAATTGTTTACGAATGCTTTTAACCGATGCAGTAACCTTCAAAAAACATCAAGTGGTTTCAGATCTGCAGGAATATATCCTTTGCGCCCCATTGAGTTCGATTCAATTGAGCCAAACATATCCCAAAATAACGCACAGGCAACAATGAACCCACCACAAATCATTGATACGAATACCCAACTCTCAAATAACCAAGCAACTGAAGTTCAACAAGTTCCCAATGCTGATACGACTGCAGTAACCCAAGTTCACAGTGTTGATATTTTAATGTACAGGCATCCGATACAGGTCTCGCTAATTCACAAAGCGAAAATACAAGCACACATACAAGTTCATCTATTCGATATTGTTGAATTGCCTGTGATTCCTCCAAAAGTATCAAAACGCAATATTAGGAAGAGAAAATCTACTGTTCTGACGNAGATCTATTATATACGCAAATTATTCTTCTCAACAGAAGGCGGCCAGCAGAGGTTGCGCAGTTAAAAGTCCAAACTTTTAAATCAATCAATTTAGAAGGCAACTCGGATAACGAATTTGAAAAATGTTTAACAGAAGCTGAAAAGATTTTATTAAAAACATACAGTCGTTTAGTTATAAAAGGTAAGCGTGGAAGAGGCGTGCCCATATTATTATCCCCAATAATGAAAATGCATTTTGATTATGTTTTGCCAACTAGAGATAATTTTTCAACTGAAAGTGATTTTGTATTCCATACAACTAGTAAAGGATTCGTTGATGGAACTAAACTTGTTCATAAATATGCCAAGAAATGTCAGCTTGAGAGACCTGCGAGTATAACAGCAACAAAACTTTGAAAGCATTTGGCTACCATTACCCAACTTCTTCAATTTTCAACTAATGATATGAAGCAGTTCAGCAAATTTATGGGCCACACGTTACAAACTCATTGCAAAAAAAAAATATTGCAGATTATTTCTCTGACCACATTAAAAAAAAGAAAAGCTCGCACTCAATGGGAAGTAATTGAGCTATCTGAAAAATATCCCCAATTAATTGAAGGAAAATAGTGGACAATTATCAAAGCTGTAGTTTAAAATATGTACACCGGGAAACTTAAATACTGAATAAACTGTGCATCTATCTACTTTTCTGAGAATGTAGTTTTATTTTCCTTACAACGGATTTATTTTATTACCGATTTTTAGTTTTATTTTCATTTTATGTAAGTTTCTTAACTGTTGTCTTTATTTTGACAGAATTATTTTTATTATGTATGTATTTCGAAACATTTGTTAATAAATTTTTAAAATTCATTATTTCCTCTTTTGCTTTATTTTTAATTACCTACAAAATTTGTAGGTTATGTAAGAACGAATCGTTAATATAATACAATAAAGGTATATTATCAAATCCAGTTACATGAACAGAATTCTAAAAATAGATTGTGACGTTAAGATACCTCTAATGCAGGGGTGGGCAAAAGCCGGCCCGCGGGCCGGATCCGGCCCTTTTGCTAATTTTATCCGGCCCGTTGAAAAATTCCGCACGCAAATTTTTTTAAACTCTTTTATGAGATTTTGTTGACATCAACATTATTAGTGTGCGTACTGTATATATAATAGGCGTAATAAAATGGGCGGTCGGCTGACTACACTAGTGTGGACGATGTCGCGAGCTTGAAACAATCCTCGCGCGATTCTCACGCGGGTCGCTCGCGACGATCGCTCTCAGGGCGGTTTTTTCGTCGAACACAAAGGAGATCGCGCTAGGTTCGAAATGCATGTGTGGACGGCATATGCTGCACTCCTCTCACTTTTCGAGGGACGACAGGTCGCACCACGCGTATTGTTAATTTTGATTTAGCACTGATCGCATACTCTTTTTTGTTCGAGTCTAATATTAGTTTGCAAATATAAAATTGAAAAAGTGGACTTTTTGTAAGTAAAATTGGTTTTATTTTATTGTATTAATTAAATTATAGGTTTGTAGACCTTTGTAAAATGAGTCAATCTAAAAAAAGAAAAGTTGATTTGGAATGCAGAAACTTCAATGAAGCTTGGACGGTAAAATATCTTTTTACAAACATAAATAAGAAAGCAATTTGTTTAGTTTGTCAGGAAACAATTGCTGTTTTTAAAGAATACAATTTAAACAGGCACTTTACAACAAAACATCCAAAATATGCATCACATTCTTTAAAAGAACTTCAAACTGTAGCAGAAAACTTAGCAAAAAACTTGAATAAGCAACAAAATATTTTTACCAAACAAAGTAATATAGAGAAATCTACCACAAAAGCAAGTTATGTTGTCGCACACAAAATTGCTAAGTTCTGTAAGCCGTTTTCTGAGGCAGAATTTGTTAAACAATGCATGGTACAAGTGTCGGAGATATGTTGTCCTGAAAAGAAACATATTTTTGAAAATGTAAGCCTTTCAAGAAGAACAATAGTACGACGGATTGAAAATATTTCAGGAAACTTACTTGACCAGCTAAGAACAAAAATTGCTGATTTTACCTATTGTTCTCTGGCTTTAGATGAGTCCTGCGATATTACTGATACAAGTCAATTATTAATATTTATTCGCGGCATTAACAAGAAATGTGAAATTAGCGAGGAACTTCTTAGTGTGCATCCAATGAAAGATACAACTACTGGTGAAGACTTCTTTCTCGCTGTTGAAGAGTGTTTAGTTAAAGTAAGTTTAACTTGGAATAAAATAGTAAGCGTCACTACGGATGGTTGTCCTAGTTTAACAGGGAAAAATGTAGGCTTACTTAAACGAATTCGCGACAAAGTAAAAGAGTTACAACCAGAACACGATATATTATTTTTGCACTGCATTATTCATCAAGAAGTGCTATGCAGAAAAGTTTTGAAATTGAATCACGTCGTTACTGTTGTGACCAAAGTTGTGAATTTTATCCGAGGACGTGCCGTAAATCATCGACAGTTTGTTGAATTTTTGAAAGAAATTGAAAGTGACTTCTACGAAATTCCTTATTACACTGAAGTGAGATGGCTTAGCATTGGTAAAGTTTTGGACAGATTTCAATATTTGCTTGATGAAATAGTATCCTTCTTGTCGATAAAAGAAAAACTACATGATTTTCCTGAATTGCAAAATAAGGTTTGGCTAAACGATTTCTCGTTTTCAGTAGATATCGTAAAATATTTGAATGAACTAAATATAAATCTACAAGGGAAAAACCAATTCGCTTTCAATATGCACTCAAACGTCAAAGCATTTATGACAAAACTCAATTTATTTGCTGAAAACTTTAATAATAAATTATTAAATCATTTCCCCTCATTGCAAGCACGGCGAGAATCATTGAAAAATACAGATTTTTTTAAATATAGTGCAATAACACAAGACCTGCATTCTGAATTCCAAAGAAGATTTCAAGATTTCAAAGCTATTGAAAAACCTTTATCATTAATTAGCCAACCTTTCAATTTCGATGTGCAAGAAGCTCCTGTTGAAATTCAACTAGAACTAATTGACTTACAATCAAATAATTTACTAAAAGAAAATTTTCACTCAAACGAATTGAGTGCTTTCTATGGCGCTTTGAATAACGAACATTTCAAACATTTTTTGAACTATGTTCAAAAATACCTTGTTTTATTTGGTTCGACATATATTTGTGAAAGAACTTTTTCTTTAATGGTTTCCACGAAAAATAAATATCGATCACAAATTACTGACGAAAATCTACACTCGGTATTAAGGATTGCTACAAGTGATTTGGAACCCAATTTTGAAGAAATAATGTCGGATGAACATTCGAGATTTCACGTTTCGCATTAACTTTAAATATTTATTTTAACGTTTGATGTTTGTCTTTTCTTTTTTAAATTCTATTTGCTATTATATTTACGAAATGCAATATAAATGTTAAATTGTAATAACTATGTGTGAATATAAAATAATTTGTATCGTTAAGACATAAATAAGTAACAAAATAAAATCTTTCATTGACTGGTTTATCTAATAGCCATTTATTTATAATAATATTTCTTTAAAAATTACGTGACAAATTTTTTTAAAATTGAAATGATACTTAGTGTTTTTGTCAAAAAAAAATTGGCAGGGAAAAAACTCCATCCAAAACATCCGCTTGTGCAAAGCATACGCGGTATAGTCCTCCGGCCCGGGAGACATTTTGAAAATTTCATTTTGGCCCGCGCTTTAAAGTATTTGCCCATCCCTGCTCTAATGTAATAGCTAAAAACCGGCAACATTGCATAGGCTCAGCTTTGCATTATACATACCTCCAATTGGCTCAGGGTTGAGTGAAGTTCAGAATGACTTCAATAATATTTAAAATTCCTATATACACAACTTTCATGCTATTAGATATTTTTGATGTATATGTACATTTTTGAAATCTCCGCCCTAAATAACTGGTAAAAGTGTGACTTATGTCACCCGAATTAATCTAGAAATTGATGGTTCAGGATTGCCTGGTATTTGTGAAGGTTCAGAATTGATATAAAGATGTAAATATAAATATAAATTACGCAGATAACGATATTTGAGACTTTTATATCAAGTTTAATTTAGTAGGTTACCGATGTAATTAAATTTGGTTATTAATTTCTTTTTATGTTGTTTCTTCATCTTACAATTTTTTTCTTTAGACAATGGTAGAAATAGCGTTAAGAAAAAATTACAAAGATAGAAGGGATTTTTGCCTCTATTGTGAAAAGGATGTATCGCATTTTGCTAGACACATTTCTAAATGGCACTCAGAAGAAATTGAGGTAGTGAAAATATTTTGTTATCGGGTGAACTCAAAGGAGAGGCGATTAGCTTTATCTAACTTAAGAAAAAGGGGAAATTTTATTAGAAATAGGACAGATACCGCTTTAAGACCTGTTAAGAGGCTAAANAACAAGGTCCACTTGTGTGGATATCTACTTGCTGAAAACGAATCCCGGCGTAGCCAACCTCAACGTGATAGGCACGTTAGCTTAATCGAATAAAATAATTCGAAGTGGTCTGTATTCTGTCGAAACTGCCAGACACGGATCGCATCTGAAACGCACTGTTAAGACAGCAGGTAAAAGTTGGTCTGTTTTCTGTCGGAGCTGCCTGCGACGCGCTGATGAGATCCAAAAAGATCGAAATCGCGATCCGCGTCTGGCAGTTTCGACAGAATACAGACCACTTCGAATTATTTTATCTTAGTATTGTGAAAAATGTTATATGGAATGTTGAACTACAGATCTAAAGCATCTTTTATGCATATACATTTTTGTTAATCTTCATTTTCGTTGCAAAGAAACGTGTTTTGATCAGTGTGGGTAATATGGCCCGTTAATGTAAGGTATATACGGACCAGTGGTCCATATTTAGCATACGTTCTATAATACAGGCAATGGCTCCTCAACGCACACAGACCACGAAAACAAGGCAATTATGGGACAAAAACGCAATGAAAGAAGCTATATGTGCAATCAGGGAAAAAAGAATGGGATACTTAAAGGCATCTAAACACTACAAGGTACCAAAGACTACATTTCGCCCATTGGTAGTAAAAGAAGATTTACCTTTAGATTTAGTAACATCTGCTAAGTTAGGCCGAAAGTCGGTCTTGCCACCTGAATTAGAACAAGCACTTGTTGATTACATCTTAACAATGGAAAGCAAATTCTTTGGTTTGACAAGAAGAGATATTAGACTACTGGCGTTTCAATTAGCCATCAAGAATAACATACCTAATCCATCCCTCCACATTCAAGTCATAAGATTCAGCCACTGGATAAAACCTGTATGGGTCCTTTCAAGAAGTATTTGACTGAAGAGATTCGTTGTTAGGTGAGAAATAATGCATGTCCTCTAACCCATTTCGACGACGGAACTCATAGGACGATCGTATTTACGGGTACAATCCGGAGATGATGCTGTAAAGGGTTTTAAAACTACCGGAATATATCCTTTTAACCGATACATTTTTCCTGACGAGTTTTTAGCGGCTGATGATGAATTAATTTCTCAGTCTCTCTCAATGACTACGAATAAAAGTAGCACTGTAGACACAAATCAGATGCAGACTGTAGAGGCATCACCTTCTTCAAAACCCATTATATAGTAAGCTACTTCCGCCTGCGACATTTGCAAATGAAAATATAATTTGTTCTCAAAAACCAATCACTTCTGCTAATCAGACTGGAAATATTTTCATAACACCACATCAGATATCTATCGTTCCTATTAAAAAACAAAAGCACGGTAACCGCGGCAGAAAACCTAGCAAGGCAGCAATAATATCATAATAGAATAAAGCGTGCAAAAATTTAATGTTCAATGAAAAAAAAACGGAAAAATGATTATGAGGGAAGTAATGCAAAAATGATAACTATTTTACAAGTTCAGCAAGTGACGAAGACGTCATTCCTGACGACAGTTCTGAAGGCGGTCCTGACAGAAGCTGTGAGGATGATGCTAAATGTACTTAACTGTAGTGGCTTATACTCAGAAGGTCGATCCGGAGAAACTTGGGTACAGTGTGTTTCATGTAAGCTTTGTATGTAAACACTGTTCTCCGTTAGATTAGATATGGGTTAGGTACCTGGTCCATATTTAACTCGACATGGTCCATATTACCCAAGGCTTTTCAAATTCATAGAATATTCAGTTTGCTTTCGTTACAATTATTTTTCTGTTTTAAATGGAGAAAAATGTTTATTTTAGTTTATTGTTAGATTCTTCGATACATTTACGAATTAATATTTAATAAAAATGATTTGACTGCAACACATGGTTTTATTGTTAATTGAGTTTATGGTGGTTCATATTTGCCGCACTTACTCTATATATATATGTTGGGCTCTACAACACACTAAAATTTCATGGTCACCGCTTGTATGCAAGCTCAACGATACTATTATCCAAAACTTTATGGAATATTTCAGGGGGAATGGAGGAACACCTTTGTTTCCCACCATAATGTAACTTACAATTAAATTTTATTAAGGTAGGAGACAGTCCCCCTCCCTTTCTCCTAAATACTCTGCAAAGTACATATGCCCCCATGTAATGTTATCAGAAAATCGTAAACATAAGGAAAACAGTACCTATGTGGTAAAAAAAAGGTGTCTCCTTTCCAGAAGTGTATTTTTGTGCTATCAACACAGAAGCAAAGAATTTGTCTACCACTTCCGATTCGAGTCACCTAAAATCCCTTTAGATATCAACTAGTCCATAAAGGCGCTTGTAAATTCTGCAGTGTATACATTTCCAGTTGACTAGACATCAAAATTGAAAAGTGTAGGCGATGTACTGCAATGTTCCAATTTCAAACAAAGTTTGCGGATGAACACGTTCTTTAGTCATTCCAATCTTTCTATTAATGATATATGACTATGTGGCGTTAGAATGCTGTATGGATTCACCGAAAAACCAATTTTTAGAAAGCGAGTTTGACATGAGTTCGGAAACGGTGGTAGATTGGAACAGCTATTTGAGGGAAGTTTATGTTAATTGGGGAACCGCAACTAAAAATTATGTGGCGAAGGGATAATTGTCGAAATTGATGAGAAGAAAATGGGAAAGAGAAAATATGACTCCTGCGCCAGACAGAACATCCAACACACTGTTGGATGTTATTAAACAAAAAATTTAGCCTGGCACAAAAATAATGTCGGACTGTTGGAAAGCGTACGATTTCCTCAATAGTAACAATGACAAACATCTGGCGATGAACCACACATACAACTCTGTGCATCCCGATACGAATGTGCGATGTGTTGATTTCAGAAAAGGGTGAGTTTATTCACCGAGTTTAGCCCTTTATATTCATTGCACATCTTAGTACTAGTTGTAATGTGAATAAGTAGTACCGGGCGCATTGCGAGTTACAGCCCTATTCACCCTATAGCCTATTATAGCAGACAAACTACTAAAACAGAAAGTAATTTTCATTCTTATGGACTGGAAACCTTAGCGGTCGCGGAGAGCCTAAAAAATTTAGAATCTATCTGATGGGTATGCACTTCACAGCTATAACCGACTGTAACGCTTTAAAAGCTACCAGCAAAAANATAAAGACAGTGATATGGCTGTGTTTAGAGTAGAAAATACTAATGTAAATGCTTCTCCAATGAATAAAACCGATGAAATTACGCTCTACCAAATTGGTCGGCACATCAGCTCCAATGAAGCTGCTTGGCGTATCTTCGGTTTTCCAATTCATGAACGGGAACCAGCAGTTGTTCAGTTAGCCGTCCATCTTGAAAACGGTCAGCGTGTATTTTCCACGAACGAGACAGTGATTGATCGTGCTACAAATACTTGCATAAATATATATCGTGTTGTATTCCTTGCCTATTTAACAAACGCCCGACAGGGAAAAAAGAAGGATTTATGCATCCGATTGAAAAGATTCTAAAACCTCTCCATACATTACACACATACATGATCACGCTATTGATGCATTCACAAACATTGTGTTTCTAAAACTAGTAAAATCAACCAATACCAAATTTGTAATTAACCAACTGAAAGAAATATATAGTTACTATGGTCATCCTAATACTATCACAACAATAATACTGTAAAAGTAGTCACATAAAACATGTCAAAACAGCAATAATAACGCCTAGAGCCAAGTGTCAAGTAGAAAAATTCAACAACACAATACTAGAACAAGTTGAGTTTATTCACTGAGCGTTCCGCCTTTTTTGTATGTCTCACTTTTGAATCACTTGCTAAATGAACGTTTTTCACGAATCATTCTTTTTTTAACTTTTGGACGAAATGTTTTGTTTTTATTTTTTTATAATGTGGCATTAAAAAATACATACAACC